AATGGTATTAACAGTGTAAAGTTGGACAATAATATGAGCTTGGAATCCAACAAGTATACAAAATCAAGACAGTTTTAGAATTGGGAAAATCTGAGACTAAAATGATGGTGTTAGGAAAGCTAGATATCTACATGGAAAAAAGTGATATTGGACCATTATACCATTTATATAAATTAACTCAAAATGAATTAGAGACTTAAATGTAAGATCTGAGATGATGAAAATTCTAAAAGAAAACATAGGGAAATCTCCTTGACATTGGTCTTGGCAATGATTTTTTTGATAAGACACCAAAAGCACAGATGACAAAAGCAAAAATAAATAAGTGGAGTCACATCAAACTAAAAAGTTTCTGCATAGCAAAGGAAACTAACAAATGAAAAGTCAATATATAGAATGGGAGAAAATTTTTGCAAGCCATTTATCCAATAAGAGGTAAATATGCAAAATATGTAAGGAATTGCTACAATTCAGAAGAAAAAAACCATATAACCTTATTTTTAAAAATGGTCAAATGACCTGAACAGACATTTTTCTAAAGAAGACATACACATGGCCAACAGCTATATAAAACATGCTGAACATTACTAATTACTAGAGAAATACAAATCAAAACTATAATGAGCTATCACCTCACAGCTGTTAGAACAGCTATTATCAAGAAGGCCAAAGATAGCAAGTGTTGGCCAGGGTATAGAGAAAAGCGAACCCTTGTACACTGTTGGTAGGAACATAAATTGGTACAGCCATAGGGAAAACAGTATGGGGCTTTCTCAAAAGTTAAAAATAGGTCCAGCAATCCCGCTTCTGGTATATATCCAAAGGAACTGAAATCAGTGTGCTCAAGAGATACCTGCACCGCCATGTTCTTTGCAGCAATATTTACAATGGCCAAGATATGAAAACATCCTAACTATCCGTGGACAGATAAACAGATAAAGAAAATGTGGAATACATATATAGTGGAATATATTTTTTAGTGATAAAAAGGAAGGAAATCCTTCCATTTGTGACAACACGAATGGAACTGGAAGTCATTATGCTAAGTGAAATAAGGTAGGCGCAGAAAAACAAATACTGTATGAGCTCACTGAACCCCAAAAAAGTTGAACTAATAAATGCAGAGAGTAGAATGATGATTATCAGAGACTAGGGAGCAGGGGACAGGAGGGAAGTTAGGCCAAATGGCACAAAACTTCAGTTACAAGATAAACAGGAGCTTTTGAGCAGCAAGATCCAGGGACAGAGTCTCAGCTTCCCGCTGCGCTGCTGCTGCCTAGAGACAGCTGAACCCCTGTCTGCCCTACTTCCACCTATTCCGGACACAGAGCATCCAGTCATGGAAGACAGTTGAGGCAGAGCCAGTGCCTTGGGCAGCCCTCAGAAAAATCAGAACATATGGTTCTCTTTTTCTTTCCCTTCTCAGGCAGCTGGGTTTTTTTGGGAAAGGGGGCAGTTGTGGTTCAGTGTTGTTCTGTTTGTTTTGCTTATTTGCTTTGCCCTGAGATGGAAGGGGGGAATGTGGCGTGTACTAGCTTGCTATTCAAACTGCAGCCTTTATTCTTAATGATGCCCATGTGTCTAGGGTATGCCAGGTCCTGTCTGCCCTTGCCTGAGATAGGCAAGACAGAAGCAAATGCCACAGCAGTCCCCAGAAAAATTAGAATGCTGGACTTATGGCCCAGTGTTTTCATTCCTTCACCTCGGAGAAGCTTGAGGAATCGCCACACCGTTTTCCACAATGGTTGAACTAATTTACACTCCCACCAACAGTCTAAAAGTGTTCCTATTTCTCTGCATCCTTGCCAGCATCTGTTCAGTTTCCAGACTTTTTAATCATCACCATTCTAACGCGTGCAAGATGGTATCTCATTGTGGTTTTGATTTGCATTTCTCTAATGACCAGTGATGATGAACTTTTTTACATGTGTTTGTTGGTCACATAAATGTCTTATTTTGAGAAGTGTCCGTTCATATCCTTTGCCCACTTTTTGATGGGGTTGTTTATTTTTTTCTTGTAAATTTGTTTAAGTTCCTTGTAGATTCTGGATACTAGACCTTTGTCAGATGGACAGATTGTAAAAATTTTCTCCCATTCTGTAGGTTGCCAGTTCACTCAGATGATAGTTTCTTTTGCTGAACAGAAGCTCTTTAGTTTAATTAGATCCCATTTGTCAATTTTGCCTTTTGTTGCATTTGCTTTTGGTGTTTAGTCATGAAGTCTTTGCCCATGCCTATGTCCTGAATGGTATTGCCTAGGTTTTCTTCTAGGGTTTTTATGGTTTTAGGTTTTACTTTTAAGGCTTTAATCTGAGATAGTATAAATTTCAACTTGTAACATGCAAATTCATACATATTTATTTTATTTCAATGCTCAATGTAGAGCATTCAGTTTGAGAAAACAATTGCTCATGTGGGATATGAAAGCAAATTTTTTGAAAGTTTCAAGAAATAAATCTAGTATGTAACTGAAAGAGGAAACCTTGTTGTCAAAGAGGAAGCCAGAGATGTGGGGTGGGTGAAACGCGTGTGCAAAGACCGTGCTAGAGGAGGAAAGATACATGGTAGGGAAGGGCTGTTAACTCTGTTATCTCTTCCTTTCAGGTAGCAGCATGATTAAAACTCATCTTGATAATTTTGCCTCAGCAAAAAAGCCAGTCATTTTGTCATATGTTTCAATGTTATTATTGTGAAAGATGACAAAACATGACTGTAGGGAACCAGAGTGTAGGCATAGAAGATAATAAGTAACTTACGAAGGGGCAAGGAGGTGGTTGTGAAAATTGGAATAGGAAACAATTTGGAGTCCATAAGGTATGACAGGTTCTGATTTGCATTTTGCAAGGTTCTGTTGACAATTCTCACAAAATAGCATCGTGTGCAAACACCAAAGACCACCTTCAGTTTGTTTCCAGTCTAAATCTCAACTTCAATTCCTGATTATTTGCTGCACAAATAATGAACTAATATAAACTACTAGGAAACGCCACACAGAACCATGACTTCAGGACTTTGCCCAGCAGGTGTGGGGTAATTTCACTAAGAAAGAGGCAATAAGGCTGGGTGTGGTGGCTCACGCCTGTAATCCCAGCACTTTGGGAGGCCGAGGCGGGTGGATCACCTGAGGTCGGCAGTTCCATCCAGCCTGACCAACATGGAGAAACCCTGTCTCTACTGAAAACAGAATATTATCCGGGCGTGGTGGCGCATGCCTGTAATCCCAGCTACTCCGGAGGCTGAGGCAGGCGAATCACTTGAATCCAGAAGGCAGAGGTTGCGGTGAGCCAAGATGGCGCCACTACACTCCAGCTTGGGCAATAAGAGCGAAACTCCATTAAAAAAAAAAAAAAAAGAAAGAAAGAAAAAGAAAAAGAAAGAAAGATAAAATGAAAATTCGTGGCCGGGCACAGTGGCACACTCCTGTAATCCAGGCGCTTTGAGAGGCCGAGGTGAATGAGTCACCTGAGGCCAGGAGTTCCAGACCAGCCTGGCCAATATGGTGAAACCTCGTCTCTACTAAAAATTCAAAAAATTTAGCCCCATGTAGCCGCACACTCCTGTAGTCCCAGCTACTCGGGAGGCTGAAGCAGGAGAATTGCTTGAATCTGGGAGGTGGAGGCTGCAGTGAGCTGAGATCGTGCCATTGCACTCCAGCCTGGGTGACAGAGTGAGACTCTGTCTCCAAAAAAAGAAAAACAAGCAAATAGAAAAATGTTGACACTATCATTTCAATTTTAAGTCTGGTCTCAAATGTTACCGTCTCTGGGAATTCCTTCCCTGAACTCTACATATCCCCTATCAGGTAGAATTGTTATACCCTTCTATGTGTTCCAACATCCTCTAGCCTCCAACATATTGGGTAATAATATATCATTTATCTTTGTTCTATTCTGCTTGATTGTGGACTAGAAGGACCTGGGATTTTGGCATTCATCTGTGTATGCACAGTGATAAGGGCAGGGCCTGGCATGGAACATTAAGTTCTTTTTGGATGAACGTGTAAGTGAGTAATGTCTATTCCTTAATTCCAATAGCACCTTGGTTAGGTCCACCAATTCCTGAAGACACCATGGGAAGATGACACCTGAGTTAAAACACTTGGCTACAAAAGCTATACAAATATGTCTTTTAGTATCCTCTGTTTATGTAGATATCTTAGTTTTCAACAAAAAGATTTTCTTTTTCACATCCCCCCCGCAAAAAAAACCACACATGATTAGAGGTGTGATTTTTAGTATCTTAAATATTATTGAAGAGCCATTCAAGGTTATGTTTATAATTAAACTGAAATAAAAGAGATTAAAACCTTCTCTGAATCTTATCTGTACTGATTTTACTATGGTCTAGCTAGTTATGGTATTACAATGATCATATGGTTTAGCCCTGATTCTAACTTAGGCATACTATTCAGTCCAATGCTGTTTAGATTTGCTCATGCGATTTGTTACAAAGTTCATGCCTCTCAGTGTTTTCACTATCCCATTCTTGCCATTGTAAAGATCTAAGCACCATCAGTCTAATAATTTAGCAGACAAGGGAGTCTTCTTAGCTTTTGCACACTATCGGGTATGGTTCACAGCAGTTACAATGCAGCCTGTTGTATTTCCAAGACCATCTGCTGCAGAGAATCATTTAAACAGTTTCCAAAAGACAGAAAGAGAGAGAAAGATGATAGATATTAACGTCATAGACGGATCTGGAGATTCAGAGACTAACACACACTCACTCACATACAAAAACAGCACTTCAGTTTTGGGTCTATGTGTGAAACCAAGTATGCCTTACACAAGGAAGACAAGGTTTTCAAAAGTGCAGTTGGATAACTTCTGCCATAGAAATGGCTGAATTAGGACACAAGGGGGGAAAATTCCAGAAGAAGGGCACATCTCTTTCTTTTCTGCAGTTCGTTCTCACCTTCTCAACTCCTAGTAAAATGTCTCGTTTTCAGGTTCTGTAAATCCTGCCAGTCTCAGGCAAAATTATGCTCCAGGAGTCTCAAATTTTCTTATTTCATATGAGTCTTTATTTAGTAGACTTCTCCATTTTTCTATTCATTACAAGTAAAAGCCTGTTGATCTTAATCAGCCAGGAAACTTATCTGTCTGGCAAATGACATATGTATAAAGATAATCATCAATGTCATGAGGTAACCCATTTCAACTGCCTATTCAGAGCATGCAGCAAGAGGAAATCCACCAAGTCGCAATATAACAATATTCTTTACTCCTGGATAGCTCAGTTAATGAAAAAATGGACACGGAAAATAGTAGGAGAGCAAATCTTTCTCTCCCACAAGAGCCGTCCAGGTAGGTACAGAGTATTATTTTTTTCTACTCTCAGTCACTTAGCGGCAGGGGAAGTCATAGTCACAGTGCTTAGGAGATGAAACTTTATTGATTTAGGCATGGATTTATCTAGTTTAATTAATATATTGGGTATGAGGAAGCTACTTGCCGTACTTTCCAAGAGATTCTCTCTCCCTGGAGAGGAACATTTTTACTCAGCTTGTAAAGTGGAAGTAACAGATTTTCTCACATTAGAAGCTCATTTTCTGGGTATGAGACAGGAGAGTTCATACTAGGTATGTAGATCTCTTGCTTCTGTGTCTGATATGTGCTGCAGGACACATATCCTTCACACATACTTTTGTAAATACTTTGTAAAATAACCTGCTTCTTGGTTGGTCTTTATGATCCATAAGCTGTGGGATGCTTCTTTGAAGATGAAAATAGTAAGAGTCCCATCTAGCCATTCAAAGTCATCCCTTCATTGCATTCTGTGTACATGAAGTTGGGGTTTGTTACTGACATAATATATTCAGATACATTTCTATGTTAAAAGGATTGTGAGATGCATAGGTAACTGTGTTAATTTTCAGTTTGACTTATCAACATAGATGAATGAGAAAGAACTTGAAAGTAACACTGGATTAAGAATAGGAAAATTTGGCATGGATTTTGTTCCATTTTGTCCCATCTAATCACTTGGATAGCGTTCAGGTGTTCTTGGTCACTTACTTGGATGCTCTGAGCTTTAGTTTCTTAGTGATTACAATGAAGATTTGAGTTACAGGATGGCTTTGAAAAAATAAACAAAACTCCCCTTTCTGTAAGTCGAGGATGTTGCACAGGGAGTTAGAGAATGTTCTTATGACTGAATTGCTTTTAAATTTCACAGTGTGCCTGCATTTGAAGTCTTGGCAGTATCTCCCCAGGAAGAATCTTCAGGCGGACTATCGAAGTCGGCCTCGTCCCCACCACAGCATACATGGCTGACAGTTTTGAAAAAAGAGCAGGAGTTCTTGGGGGTGAGTGAGCCTCCTCCAACTTTGACTCTAGTAAAGGTTGGGTCTAGAAAAGAATACTGAGTTGCATCAACTGTTTTCCCACTTGGATTCATGAGAGGTGGCAGGTCCTCTAAAAAACATGGTAGATAAAGAGTTGATACTAACTGGGCCCTTTTGGGAACAGAGAAGCATTTCTTCAAAAAGACTTTAAATTGCTAGGATGAGAATGGCCAATAGGAGTGAAGGATTCATCATCTTTATCTTTACTTAGATGTAAAGAACAATTACTGATGTTCAACATGACTATGTACATAAAGGCGCATGGAGAAAGTATTGGCCATCCATGCATTAGGTAGTGCTTGTATCAATTCCTATAGCGGCCAGGGTATCCTGGAAAATCTTACGTGTGGATCACTTCTCAGGACAGTCTAGGACACTAAAGCAGTTTCTCATGTTCGGCCTCTATTATTAAAAAATGATACAATCTTGGGAAAATATTTCGATTTTCATGAAATTCATGTGTTTTTCTATAGGTAACACAAATTCTGATCGGTATGATATGCCTATGTTTTGGAACAGTTGTCTGCTCTGTACTTGATATTTCACACATTGAGGGAGACATTTTTTCATCATTTAAAGCAGGTTATCCATTCTGGGGAGCCGTATTTGTGAGTATATATCTATAATAGTTTCTGAAATAACACTGAACATAGGTCTCTTGCTAAGAACTAACCAGTTATTTCCAGTATTAAGATGATATTTATAATTCCTAACATAGATATGCTCATTAACAACAACAAAACATTCTTTTTATAATTAACCGTGTGTTAAACATTTAGCCCACAGTTTTATCCGATGAGAAACCTGAATCTAATTCAAGTTAAATGACTTGCCTAAGGGACACTTGGCTGATAGTAACTGAACCTAAACTTTCAGAATCCAACTCCAAGAACATACTTCTAGCACTATTCATCAATAAAGTTATACGATAACTACATACAGTTTTATCTGTCAACTAAAAATAATAACAGAGGCTGAGCATGGTGGCTCACGCCTGTAATCCCAGTACTTTGGGAGGCTGAGGTGGGTGGATCACCTGAGGTTAGGAGTTCGAGACCAGCCTGGCCAACATGGTGAACCCTCGTCTCTACTAAATATAAAAAATTAACTGAGTGTGATAGTGCATGCCTGTAATCCCAGCTACTTGAGAGGCTGAGGCAGGAGACTTGTTTGAACCTGGGAGGCAGAGGTTGCAGTGAGCTGAGATTGTGCCATTGCACTCCAGCCTGGGCAATAAGAGCAAAACTCTGTCTCAAAATAATAATAATAGAAAATAAAGTTATCTTCATGAAAAATGAGGAAAGAGATTGCTGGGCTGAGAAAAATTAAGATCAATGGGCATATGGTGACCTTCTATGCCCTAGAAACTTTTAGGTATTTTCTCGTGGCACCTCTTTTACTCATTGTTCTATGTGGAAAAACAGGTGGATGAGTGAGATAATAAGGTATATAACTTTTTAAAGGTCTAATTGACATATAATAAATTGCAAGTATTTCAGGTGTACAATTTGCTAACCTTCGACACACATAGACACACATGAAAACATCACCACATTAATACAATGTATGTATCCATCATTTCCAAAAGCTTCCCTGTGTATCTTTGTAATTCTTTCTTCCTCCCTCCACTCCTTCTCCTCTCTTCCCCAAGAAACCATTGATCTGCTTTCTGTGAATATAAATTAACTTGCATTTTTATATAAGTATGTTCTCTTTACTGTTTGTCTTCCTTTGCTGCACAGTTATTTTGAGATTATTCATGTTTTTTCATTATATCGATACTTCATTCATGAGAACATATTTTAATTCTAAACTATATCACATTCACTTTGCATTCTGCTAAATCCTTAGTGCTCAGATGACTTGTTCAGGACTCTCCTTGAACCTCTACCTCTGTTATAATTGAAACTTGTCTCTACTGTCTTTTTATTTCAAACACAGCTTATTAGGTGTCTCTCAACCCATCAAACTCACAATCTTGAGTCTTTAGGAGATTGCTTTGAATTTGTGCTATTGACTTATATTTATATCAAATATGTAAATGTTTGGTAAAAATATCATCATGTACATTTTCATAATTACTCTATATTCACATGATATATGTCAAACTCTGGAAATACGCATGCCACAAACACATGTTTCTTGCCTAGAGGAGCTGATGGAAGATGCACATACAAATAGACAATTGCAATAGAATGAGAGTGGTGGTCTAACAGATTCATGCCCCTGATGTTGCCAGACATTGCTACTCCAAGAGTAACCCCTGCATTGTCAGGGTTAGCATCTCCTGGGAGGCTCATGTAAATGAAGAATTTCATGCTCCATCCAGGACCTAATGAATAAGAATCTGCATTTTAGCAAGACCTTCACATGATTCGTATACACTTTTTTTTTCTTTTAGACGGAGTCTCACTCTTTTCGCCCAGGCTGGAGTGCAGTGGCATGATCTTGGCTCACTGCAACCTCCACCTCCTGGGTTCAAGTGATTCTCCTGTCTCAGCCTCCCTAATAGCTGGGACTACAGGCACACGCCACCATGCCTGTCTAATTTTTGTATTTTTAGTAGAGATGGGGTTTTGCCATATTCGTCAGGCTGGTCTCAAAATCCTGACCTCAGGTGATCCCCCTGCCTCGGCCTCCCAAAGTGCAGGGATTACAGACATGAGCCACCACACCCAGCCTTATTCATATACACATTTACTTTTGAGGAGCACTCTATAGAAAATAAGAATAAGGAAATACTGGGTTCACAGGTGACATTAATAAGCAACTTTATCAAGTACCCCAAATTGTACCTATGTTTGGAAGATGGGGTTAAAAAGGACACATTGAAAACAAGAAACTCATTGTGGCTCTTTTTTTCCTCCTTTTTGAACAGTTTTCTATTTCTGGAATTTTGTCAATTTTATCTGAAAGGAGAAATGCGACATATCTGGTGAGTTGCCTGTTTCTGTCTTTGTTCCTCTTTGAAAAGGTAAGAAGAATGGAGTTTGAGGAGTCTTAAGGGAAACATGTCTTCGTCTCCTATATTACCAGTGAATGTGGATATATGACTTTGTTTCAATCTATTTTGTGTCCTGGGGCTTTTTGCAACAGAAGTTGGATATAATCATTAGAAACATAAATTGCACCATTTAACATACAATGAAGTTTATGTTTACCTTGATGCTCGTGCTAAAAAAAAAGTGTCCCCACACTGGCATTGTCCGTGTAGGTATATTCACATGATCAAATAAATAATTAGTTTTCAATTAAGAAGAAGATTTGAGGAAAGACCGTACCTGTCAATGTGGTTCCTGAATGCAGTCCAGCGAGAAAGAAATATATGCTCATTAAACAATGCGGCCATTTTCAGGGCTTCCCTTTTTAACCAAAATTTGGAAGCAATGTGGAATTTACTGAATGCATCCAGCCCTGAGATGAAGATAGGCTTATCGAATGTGCCAGCAAGTGCAGGCCCAGGTCTGAGTGTTCCTTATTATCATCAGGCGAGAGGAAGCCTGGGAGCAAACACTGCCAGCAGCATAGCTGGGGCAACAGGAATTACCATCCTGATCATCAACCTGAAGAAGAGCTCGGCTTATATCCATATCCACAGTTGCCAGAAATATTTCGGGACCGAAAAGTGCTTTATGGCTTCCTTTTCCGCTGTATGTATTTTTTTTGTGTGGGAAGACTAAGGTTCTGGGTCCTAATGTAAGTAAGAAGCCCTCTTTTCTTGTTCCATGAACACCATCCTTTTCTGTAACCTCCATTACATCGTATAGTGTTCTGTAAGTTCACACAGTCCAGGGAGATGCTGGCTGCCCGCTCCCCTCAACCCAGGCAAATTCCTTGGGGTTAAAGTTATCTACTACAAGTAACCATCTCTGGGTTTTCCTGTGTCTGTGTGTGTGTCTGTGTGTGTGTGTGTGTGTGACTTTAGAAGGACTGGTCAGATGATGGGGAGATGAAAGCAGGAGATGTTATAAGAAAATAAACTTTTGGGGCACCTACCACGTGACTCTTTTTGCTTATCGTTTGTTGCTGTTCAATAGGAAATGGTAGTGATGATGCTGTTTCTCACCATTCTGGGACTTGGTAGTGCTCTGTCACTCACCATCTATGGAGCTGGGGAAGAACTCAAAGGAAATAAGGTAGGTAGAAGCCTGATATAAAATCCTGAATGACAGGTTAAAGAATTGGAGCTTTATTCCTTAAAAATACGGGCTGGGTTTTCTGAAACATTTCTTCCAGAAAATAGTTTCTCCAAGTTTTATTATTTTGGTTTCCAAATCTCACATTTTAAATCACATTTTATACTCATAAGTAGCACACATTTCATAGGATATCCATCTGAATGAGGGTTGGGAAAATAGGATCTGTATAATGTTAGAAAATATGGATGCCTTAAAGTGTGTGGAGCATGAGAGACGTTTAATCACATTTTTATACTCATAAGTAGCACACATTTCATAGGATATCCATCTGAATGAGGCTGGGAAAATAGGATCTGTATAATGTGTTAGAAAATATGGATGCCTTAAAAAGCAGAGCATGATTGAACCACCCAGGTATCTGGCCTTATTTTCTGCCCCAGAAGTAGCTGCCTATTCCTGTTTTCTGGCTTTTTTTTTTTTTTTGAGACGGAGTCTCGCTCTATTGCCCAGGCTGGAGTGCAGTGGCCGGATCTCAGCTCACTGCAAGCTCCGCCTCCCGGGTTTACGCCATTCTCCTGCCTCAGCCTGCCGAGTAGCTGGGACTACAGGCGCCCGCCACCGCGCCTGGCTAGTTTTTTGTATTTTTTTTGTAGAGACGGGGTTTCACCGTGTTAGCCAGGATGGTCTACGATCTCCTGACCTCGGGATCCGCCCGTCTCGGCCTCCCAAAGTCCTGGGATTACAGGCTTGAGCCACCGCGCCTGGCCTCCTGTTTCTGTTTTATTCCTTTATTTCTTGACTTTTCCTTTCCAACTTGCTCTAAAACCTCACCTCAATATTCTTTCCTTTCTGATTCATGACTACCAACTGTTTCCACTTGCCTCACCCGTCCATTATACCTTTGATGAGAACCACTAGCACCTGGTGCTCCCGTACTTGCCCAGGTCTGATGGATGAAACATACTCTCTCCACCTGTCCACTTTCCTGAGGCATTTAAGTCTAGCCACCTTTTAAAATCACTTTCCTCCAGGCTGGGCACAGTGGCTCACGCCTGTAATCCCAGCACTTTGTGAGGCCGAGGAGGGTGGATCATTTGAAGTCAGGAGTTCAAAACCAGCCTGGCCAAATGGCGAAACCAAATCTCTACTAAAAAATACAACAAAACAAAACAACAGCAATGAAAACAAAAAAGGAAACATTAGCCCAGTGTGTTGGCAGGTTCCTGAGGTTTCAGCTCCCCAGGAGGCTGATGCCGGATAATCGCTAGAGCCCAAGAGGTGGAGGTTAAGTGAGCCGAGATCATGCCACTGCACCCCAGCCTGGGTGACAGAGCCAGACTTGGTCTTAAAAAAAAAAAAAAGTAGCCAGGCCAGTGGCTCATGCCTATAATCCCAGCACTTTGGGAGGCTAAAGCCGGAGAATCATTTGAAGTCACGAACTGGAGACCAGCCTGGCCAACATGGTGAAACCCCGTTTCTACTAAAAATACAAAACTTAGCAGGGCGTGGGGATGCACGCCTGTAATTTCAGCTACTCATGAGGCTGAAGCAGGAGAATTGCTTGAACCCGGGAGGCAGAAGTTGCAGTGAGCCGAGACCGTGGCCACTGCACTCCAGCCTGGGTGACATAGTGAGACTCCGTCTCAAAAGAAAAAAAAAAAAAAATCACTCTCTTCCAAAGATAGATAAATAAGACAGCAGATATACTAAGGAATAACCTCACCAACTTGTCATCGACTGACATGATTTCTTTTGGGCCCACTTAGCCAGCCAGTCTGGTTTGGTTTTCTGGAACTGAAAGAAATAATTAAAGCGTAATGACAGAGAGTGTGAGAGTCAGAAAGACGAAAGTAGACGAGATAAGTCTCTTGAGCAAGACTTCTAGGGATGGGAAATTTGTGGTGATTGATATGAAATGATTTTTCCCTTATCAGGTTCCAGATGATCGTGTTTATGAAGAATTAAACATATATTCAGCTATTTACAGTGAGTTGGAAGATCGAGGGGAAGTGTCTCCTCCCACTGATTTATAAGAATCACATGTCCAGAACACTCTGATTCACAGCCAAGAATCCAGAAGGCCAAGGTCTTGTTAAGGGGCTACTGGAAAAATTTCTATTCTCTCCACAGCTTGCCAATTTTACATTAGATTTATTCGCCAGATGAGAATATTTTGTTTTTGTTGCTTCTGTTCCCCTTAATATTCTCCTTCCATTTGTAGATATGATAGACTCCTATTTTTCTTGTTTTATATTATGACTTCATACACCTCTCTGCTGGAAAGTCAACATGTAATAAGCGAGATTTAACTGTTTGATTATAACTGTGCAAATACAGAACACAAGAAGGCTGGCTGAAAGTTGAGTTAAACTTTGACAGTTTCATAATATTTGGTTCTTAGGGTTTTTTTTTTTTTTTTTTTTTTTTTTTTAGCATTCCTAATAGTTACAGTTGGGCATGGTTTGTACCACCCACCCATACCCACACAGTCACACACACATATATATAACTTACACTATATATAACTTTCTATGCAAATATTTTACCACCAGTCAATAATACATTCTTGCAATGTATTGCATGAAGTTTTATAAAAATCTGTATAATTGCCTAAATCACCAGCACATTCACTGACATGGTATTATTAGATAATGTTTGCAGATTGATAAGTAGGAAGTGGGGAATTTTATTAAGTTACCCATTGTCTGGGGAGGTAGATTGGTAAAAACAGGGAAATTGTAAGTGGAGAGATCATTTAGTGAGACATTTGTGAAAACAAGAAGAATAAATTAAGACCTGAGCTGAAACAAAGTGAGTGGAAATGGAAATAATGGTTATATCTAAAACGTGTAGAAAAAGAGGAACTGGTAGACTTTGTTAACAAATTAAAGAATAAAGTTAGACAAGCAACTGGTTGACTAATACATTAAGTGTTTGAGTCTAAGATGAAAGGAGAACACTGGTTATGTTGAAAAAAATGATAAAAAGGACTAGGCACGGAGGCTCACGCCTGTAATTCCAGCGCTTTGGGAGGCCGAGGCAGGCAGATCACGAGGTCAGGAGTTTGAGACCAGCCTGGCCAACATAGTGAAACCCCATCTCTACTAAAAATACACACACAAAAAAAAAAAAAAAAAAAAAAAAAAATTAGCTGGTGGGGTGGCGGGCATCTGTAGTCCCAGCCACTTGGGAGGCTGAGGCAGGAGAATCGCTCGAACCTAGGAGACAGAGGTTGCAATGAGCCTAAATTGCGCCAGTGCACTCCAGTCTGGGTGACAATGGGAGACTCCATCTCAAAAAAAAAAAAAAAAAGAAAAAGATAAAGATAAAAAGTCAGAAATATGAAAAGTGGAGGAAGAGTACAACTAGATTAAGCTCATTTTTAGATTTTCCTTTTGGGGAGACAAAGGGAAATGCAGCCATAGAGGGCCTGATGACATCCAATACAGAGTTCTGGTAAAGACAAAATTTGGCAGAGGTTTAGTGTCAGTATAGGAGAAATCATTATTAAATGAAGAAAGTTAACACTGTAAGAGAATTATTTTAAGACAGAGGTGAAGCTAAGTTAAACTTCACATGCCTATAAATGGAGGGAAAAACTAAGGATAAAAATCTAGAATAGAAGATACAATAGGCCGGGCGCGGCGGCTCGTGCCTGTAATCCCAGCGCTTTGGGAGGCGGAGGCGGGCGGATCACGAGGTCAGGAGATCGAGACCATCCTGGCTAACGTGGTGAAACCCCGTCTCTACTAAAAATACAAAAAAATTAGCCGGGCGAGGTGGCGGGCGCCTGTAGTCCCAGCTACTTGGGAGGCTGAGGCAGGAGAATGGCGTGAACCCGGGAGGCGGAGTTTGCAGTGAGCCAAGATCGCGCCACTGCACTCCAGCCTGGGCGACAGAGCCAGACTCCGTCTCAAAAAAAAAGATACAATAATTAGTCGTAAACATGCATGCATTGTGAAATCATAGAGAACAGGTAGCCCAAAATAGAGAAAGATTAGATAAAGAGAAAATAAGTAACCGTCAGAGACAGTATCTGTAGGCCTGGTCAGGAGAAAAGTCCGCAGTGATAAGCAATCCACCTAAGGCATGAATATGGGCAGAGAAAATAGCAGTAGTGAATGAATGCAGAAGGTGCTGAGAAATTCCGCACACGGGTATCGTGATGAGTAAATGAATAAAACATTTGCAAAGACCTTTAGAAACAGAGAATGGGGGCATATGTGAGAAATAAGATAGTTGATTATGAATAGAAGGTAGTGAAGGAAAGCAAGCGAAGAAAAAATTCTATTTATAAAAGAAGGAAAAGATCGTTTGTGTTTTTAGCCTAAGAGTCCTGTAGAATGACTGAAAAAAATCAGTCTGAGAGTATTAGTCACAATTAATGAAATAATTAATTACATTTTATGTATTGAGGATGCCAAGATTAAAAGGTGACAGGTAGATGTTAATTTCACTAGATTATGAACGTGATCACGACAATCACACAACAGATAATTAAGTGACTTGGTATGCTTTATTTAATTGTAGGGCCTGAGGTTTTCCATTCTCATTTTTCTAAAATAAAATTTTGTTTCTCCAACTTTGACAGCAGAATAAAAAAACCCTACCCTTTCACTGTGTATCATGCTGAGCTGAATCTCTACTCTTGATCATCTGTGGGTATTAATTACATCCCTTCCATGGCATGGACATTCACATACAGACACTTAAACCTGGTTTACCAGAACCTCTAGGAGTGGATCCAATCTATCTTTACAGTTGTATAATATTTCTCTTTCATTTCACCCAATTTATATTTTCATCATTGACTACATATTTCTTATACGCAACACACAATTTATGAATTTTTTCTTAAGATCTAACTGAGAGTTTTCCCACCGTGCCTGCCTTTTATAGTATGCCCACCTCAGGCAGACACAGAGCACAATGCTGGGGTTCTCTTCACACTATCACTGCCCCAAATTGTCTTTCTGAATTTCAACTTCAAGGTCATCTTCTCCATGAAGACCACTGAACGCACACCTTTTCATCCAGCCTTAATTTCTCCCTCCATAACTACTTTATCCCACGATGCAGTATTATATCATTAATTATTAGTGTGCTTGTGACCTCCTTATGTATTCTCAATTGCCTGTATTTCTGCAATAAATTGGAATAATGTAACTTGATTTCTTGTCTGTATTTGTGTTGGCATACAAGATTGAGGGACTTATCAAAGATAATGGGGAACTAAGGCATCAATAAAATGATGCCAAAGACCGAGAGCAGTTTCTGAAGTCCTCCTTTTCATCAGCCTTTATCAAACAGAGCACTCTATAAACAACCCATAGCCAGAAAACAGAATGTAGGAACAATCACCAGCCATCTTTTGTCAGTAACTGATGGAATAGAGTAGAAAGGAAACTGGAGCATGAGTCACATTTGACCAGTCAGTCCTCACTTTTATTTACTTGCTATGTAAACTTGAGAAAGTTTTTTCTCCTTGTGAACCTCAGGTTCTACATCTGAAAATGAGAAATTTGTAACAAAAGATCTCCAACTGGTCTTTATGTTCCTATATTCTGTAATTTTTAAATATTTAGAATTTTTGGTAATCACAATTACCAAGTTTGTGGCTGGGATAGCAATAGCAATCAGAACTATTTGGTGGACATATTTTCAAAGGAGCAGCTCTCCGCTTGGGGTAAAGAAGTATGTGGTGTAGCAAGACACCTGGAACAATAATATTTCTCTAAATCCCTTTGACAAATGCTAATCAAAGTGTGTTTTTTTCCTAAAATTTTTCTTAGAAATAAAATTTCCCATATTATTCCCATTATAGGTAAATAATAGGTAATAATTCTTGCTATAGACATGGATCTACTTATATAAACAACTAATGAAACAGGGTACCATATTTTTAATTGTAACTTGATTTAGAGTGTTGGGGTAAATATATATATCCAAGAGGTGTGAGGGTCCCTTGTCAGTATCTCTCTGTGTTACATGAGTATTTCCCTCCACTGGAAAACCTCTGTTCACTCCACAAACAGTTAAGTGAGCTGAACTTATGTCTCCAAATAGCTTCTATCTGGGAGTTCCAGCATTGTATTTTATCTTAGTTTTTTTTTGTTTGTTTGTTTTTTAAATGAATATATTAAACATAACTACTTTAAATACATTGTGAATGTTCAAAAATCATTTAGCCCAGTTTCTAGAATGATGAATGGAACCTATTTTTTATTTATAGACATTGATGTGTAATCCTGAACTTGAAATTAGGAAAAGAGACACTGTCAGCTTCTCAGGAACGTTTGGCAATATTCACCTATCCCTTAACTCTGGTTGGAAAAAGTGGGCTTGAGACCCTGGGTAAGATCAGGGAATGTAATTATTAGTAACCTTCACACAGACGACTTCCAGATAAATTGAACTGTAAAATCATATGTTACAAAATGATATTATCTTGTCCTAAAAAGGCAGAGAAGCAGATGGAAAGAGGCTCTAGGGAAAATGGTATCAGATGAGTTTTGGGAAACCTTTAAAAACATATCAACTTTCTTCATCAGTGAGAAATATCTTAACCCACCATGTCTGCCTATCGGGGAGGAACTGGTTGAAAAACAGCACAAGAGGCCCAATCTGTAAAAAACAGAAGGAAAAGAGAGAGCCGAGATCAATTTTTGGCTCTCACAGTAAACAGTGTGTAAAAGGTGCCCAGAGAAAACAGCTCCTCTCCTCTCATTATTTGGTGGCCCTATATAACATTTTTGGATTGGAATCTGTTTTGTGCTGCTGTAAGGCCTTGTCCTGGGCATAGATTTAGGCTGGGCAGAAGAAGGGCTGGCGATTAGTCTATATGAGAATGTTAAGAGTGGTTTCCTACATGGTATGCTATTGTTCAATGATTTTTTTTTTAATTTTTAGAGACAAGTGACCTAGGATAGACAATGGTGCTGCCATGCTTTACCATTCGTAAATAAATTGATATTCTATCTAACATGATTCTGTGGATATGGCAATAGACCTGAATAAGGGCTGATGCCCTGTTAGATTCCAGACATTTTGCTAAGACACAGAACAGAAAATATGAATATGCTATAAATGTTGTCCTTCAGAAGTTCATGTGCAAAAAGGGAGAGAGGAGAGAAAGATCCACTTAGGCAATAGAAGATGCTACTAGAACGTAGAGAAAGAGTTTTTCTGGCATGAGCAGTTGTCATGAGAAATCAACAATTAAACTGGAAAATTTGAACTGGAATTCCAAATCCTATAGGAGAATAAGAAAGTGAATAAAGCCAGGCTGGTCGTGGTGGCTCACGCCTGTAATCCCAGCACTTTGGGAGGCTGAGGTGGGTGGATCACAAGGTCAGGAGTTCAAGACCAGCCTGGCCAACATAGTGAAACCCCACCTCTACTAAAAATACAAAAATTAGCTGGGTGTGGTGGCATGTACCTGTAGTCCCAGCTACTAGGGAGGCTGAGGCAGGAGAATCACTTGAACCCAGGAGGTGGAGGCTGCAGTGAGCTGAGACGGCTCCATTGCACTCCAGCCTGGGTGACAGAGTGAGACTCCATTCCCCCAACCCAAATAAAAGAAAAGAAAGTGAATGAAGCCAAACTTACTTGAATTTCCACTATGTCTCCAGCCTTCTGCTGAAAGCCTAACTTGTGTTACTTCATTTTAATCTATGAAACAAACTCTTGAGGTAAGAAATACCTCTTTTTTAAAACTGTAAGCGTCTTTGCATAACAAGAATAAACACAATTTGCCAAGGCCACTTAGCCACGAGATTATGGAGCTGGGATTTAAACCCAGGCTGGCTTCACTTTAGTGTCTGTGCTCCTCCTACTTGGCTTAACTGCCTGTCTTAGCCATGGGAGTTGTGAAATTAATGAACACTCTCCTCAGAATGATTGTGCATTTGCTCTGGAGATAGAAAACATGGAGCATTAATTGGTGGTACAGTTCTATGTAGTTATCTCTACATAACCATTTTTTTTAAAAAAACCTAGACATAAGAACTAACTTCTTTACACTTCATACTCCAGCCCCTGGAAATCACCTAT